ATAGGAAAAATAAATTTATGCACTAGCGGGCCGAAAAGTGCACTTTACCGCCCGGTTTTGCGGGCGTTAAGTTGCACTTTGTCACCCGCGGGCTCATCATGGCCCATGGGCCTTAAAGTGAACTTTACCGTCCACTGTTTTCAGTTTCCATATATTCACATATCAATTCATGTAAAACCTATGATCATTCTCCTAGATTCTAATTTATCCAGCGGGATATCATAAACTTCTTCTTTATCCAATTCCATATAGTCTCGCTATTATTATTATTATCACTAATTCTTACTTTACAGTCAAAGAATGACAATTCAGCTTGTTTATTGGATGTATTGCTATAGACAACAACCATCAGCTTACTTGACAACGTCAAAATGAGGTATGCATATTGTAAAATTCTGAAGAATGAATCTCTTCTAGAGATTAAAGATTTTTACTATTACGATAATTGCAATATTCGTACGATAATTTTTATGTGTAAATCATCCATGAATATTACGCTTCTCTTGATTACAGAATTTATACGTAACAAATTAAATTCGGAGGAGCATTAGTTCATCGAAATCTATAGTAATTACTTTTGAGTCAGAAAATAAACAGCTAGTGCATACAATTTTGTATGTATCACGTGCGTGAAACGCGTTTATGGCCTTCAGCGTGTGATGGCCCTCGGCTAGCGCCATCGGGCCATTATTAACACCACACGCCTACTTTACGTCATAAATAACTATTCTACACATTTTTCAATTGTAATTCAGAAAGAATAAGATGTAATTCAGAAAGTAGAAGTTGAAATTCAGATTAGTTAATTGTAATTCAGAAAGCGTAATATGTAATTCAGATTAGTGAAATGTAATTCAGAAAGTGTAACTTGTAATTCAGAATAGTGAAATGAAATTCAGAAACCGTCAATTGTAATTCAGAAAGCATAACTTGTAATTCAGAAAGTATCACTTATGTTTCAGAAACTAGGAACAACCCGTATGCATCCATTCTCCTTGAGAACAACGACTTGTTTATCTCGAACAGAATATTGATCAGGCCCAAAGATACAATTGTTTGAGGTGAATGTGATAGGGCTGTACAACACACCACCATTCACCATACTGCAGCTCTGCCATTTCAAGATATGCCCGTTGTTCGATAAATATAAAATATTGATGTTCACCAGTTTCACCACACAATATAACATTCGTTGATTTTTATTCCCTACGCTTATTTAAGTTCATAGTATTCATGAATTACAAGTGATGCTTCCTGAATTACAAATAATTACGCTTTATGAATTACGATTGACTATTCGGAATTACAAGTTACACTTTCTGAATTACATTTCACTAATCTGAATAACATGTTATGCATTCTGAATGACAATTGACGGTTTCTGAATTACAAGTTACACTTTCTGACTTACATTTTACTAAACTGAATTACAAGTTACACTTTCTGAATTACATTTCACTAATCTGAATAACATGTTATGCATTCTGAATGACAATTGACGGTTCCTGAATTACAATCAACTAATCTGAATTACAAGTTACACTTTCTGACTTACATTTTACTAATCTGAATTACGAGTTACACTTTCTGAATTATAATTGAAAAAGGTGTAGTTCATATACCAAAACCGACCTTCCACTTCCTAAGCGTATTCGTTCTCTTACTATGCAGGATCCCCAAAGCGCCGTCGGAGATGACGGCGCCAGTGACGGCGTCCGAGTTGGCGGTGACAAGCGAAGAGCCGCCTGCAATGACGCCGTCGGAGCCGAACCGGGAGCGTCGCGTCAGCGCCATCAGCTGGCGCAGCCTGGACAAGCTGCCGCTGGGCCTGGAATCGGCTGGACCGTCTGCCAGTCTGGAAAGGATTGCGGACGAGTCGACGAGGAGAAGCCAGAACCTCAGAGGGCGCAACGCGCAACAGTCGGTATCTTGCAGTTATGCAAATACGTTCAAACATAGAAGGGACACTGTCGTGTCACAGTATATTATCCTTGTGGTCGTGTGTACGCCTGGGAAAAATATCGATATATCGAATAACGATACACAGGGTGTTGCGAAATTCGACCGACAACGCTTGACAGGTGATAGAACTCGTGATTTCATAGTCACTGAGATAGGGACATACGGTCTCCAAGTGTTCAGTTCTCGAGATACAGGGCGTTGAAGTTGAGAAATTAAAATAGTTTTTCCGCGATATCTCAAGAAAAAAGTTATATAATATTTAATAATACTCATTTAATATCACTATAATTATATTCACTGTGTTGTACATACATTGCCATCTATATATGTTGAATTGAATTGAACTGAATCGATATATCGATATACCGATAACTTTAGAATTTTTTCTCAATATATTGGAAAAAATAAATTTATTATTTTTATCGCGTCTCAGAAGAAAGTACCATAAATTCAACAGGGTGAACTAAAACCGAAATATGCCGATTGAAATCAACTTACCACCATACGAAAATTCACCGTTGACCCGTGAGAGGGCGATTGAGAACAATTTTATTTCCAGATTTTCTATAACATTTCGAAATCCTTCAAAGTTACTACTCTGAAATTCGTAGAGTTATTTATTATAGTGAATGTCCATGAAAAACATCGTACCGATTCAATCAATATACAGGGATTTAGTTCTTTCGCATTCTCTTCGATAAAAACTAATGTAACTTTTTTGGAACACTGCACTGATCACATTTCGATGGGAAATTCACTACCATTCCGTGCTTCGATCAAGCCATTTTACGATTCTATAAAGGACATACAGACTATAGGCCTGCGCGATATTAGATTTCACATATCCAAAGTCAAAACATATATCGTCAAGTTCGATCAATATATCGAATATATCGATATTTTTGAAATTATATATCGATATATCGATGTTTGTGAAATTATATATCGATATATAGATTGTTTCCCACGTCTAACTCAAAATAATCTCATTTTTTATTCAAACCAAAGGTTATAAAATCTTCAGCCAAATTAATTAAATCAGCATAAAAACCTTCCTACTTACGCAATATATTATCATGCCTTAACATCGGTAGAATTAGACGTATTATATTTATTATAATTCGATATAGATATGCGGATTGATTTTTATATACCTACTCAAATTAGACAGGGGCGACAAAACTCTATTTTCCAAGATATCGTCAGAGAAGAGAAACGGAAGAGCATCTCAAGGAAGGTAATGCCATCATTTCCGGACAACTATTTGAAAAAGTCAATAGTGGATTCAAGACTGCCACCTATCCCAATTAAGAAAGCCAAATGTTGCGGTCTGATCAAGGCCAAGTTGAAAAATGAAAAGTCAGTTCCCGGAGATTCTGATGATAATATTGATATCGAGTCTATAAAGTAAGTTTTTTTTCGAAAAACTTCATCTGACATACAGTGCTTTTCTTTATTAACGCCCCCCCCCTTTATGTTTTGAACGGGTCAACTGAAAAAGTTGAAACTGGGCATGATGAAATTGATGCATGAATTATCTATATTTTGGAGTAACATTGGAAAATGAAAATTTAATCGAGAGGGCAGGTGTCTTGTTGTTGTAGTAGGTGAAGATATTGACTTTCTTTTCTAAGGGTTAATGTTAGTGTTCGTCAGGAGCTTCAAAGAAATGTGTCACAAGATCCCCCTTTCACTTTTTTGGTGTTTTTTTTTCAGTAGGCGCGCACCCAGTCTGTCAATTTTCACTCCAAAACACATAGTATTCATGCATCAATTGCATTATCCTAAGTATGATCTCTATCCTGTTTCAATTTTTTGAAATTTCTCGTTCGAAAAATAAAAGGGAGGGGACATTAAAGAAAAGCACTTTATAATAATATATTACTCTCTATACACACCGCTTGATGATGGGTGACACAACAAAAACGAAACAGAGACTGAATAAATATTCGATTAAGTAGGATTTGTGGGAATGCAGCAAATAATGGGACTCAAAAGAAAACTTATTATTACTTTTGTATATCCTGGTGTCCATTAAGGTCATGTCGTAAATGATAGGGTAGTTAGATAGTGAGCCAAAATAATCAGTACTTCATATGTATTAAAAAATTGCTACCGCACTTCGTTACGGAGTTATATTTTGGCCTTGAAAGTTTGAATAAAAACAATATAGGTACAAAATAAGGTGAGTAATATGAACTCTGTTCTTCGACATTGAATCATTGAAATTATATTGAGACTGGGAAAAAAATAATTCTGAATCACCACATAATTTAGTGAAATCTATATATTCAGAAGATTGTTTTTATTTCGAGTACCTATTTATTATATATCTGTTTTCTGCTGTCATAGCATGTGAATAGCTCAATATTTTCAGTTACAAACATAACTGCTCCATAGATCAAATCGTTCTTGAAACAATCAAACCACGACGGCCCGTGCGTATATTGCAAACATGCGCATATTATTGTATTCACCTACCTTATAATGAAACACCCTGTATATAGGACCATATCACTGTACCATTATTATATATAATAGGTACCTAAATATATATCAACGATAAATAATTACACATTTATTTATATCTCCTGCTTGCAGTGCACAGATGGATGACGAAACGAGCAACAATGACAGTAACAGAAGTAGCATAAATTCTTACCGCCGACGATCTTCTCCCATTGGTATGTATCAGCAGTGTTGCTTTATTATTATCCTCAGGATATATTCTATTTCAGAAAATCCAGTTTCCGAAAAGCACAAAGAAATTAACAAGTATCTGAATAATGTCTGAATATTGTATTTATATTCACTAAAATAAATACTCTGCCCACAAAAGTCATTACGTCATGTTCATTTGAATTCGCCGCCAATATCGAAATGTCTGTGATTCGAATTTTCCGCCATGACAATTATCTTTGATTGGTCTCAAATTGCGCCTATAACGAAAGTCATGGCTGCTTCAATCGTCAATCCGCCCTTGTCACAGATTAACAAACCTTATCCATCCCTGTCTCGTCTTCTGTTTGACACATGACACAGAATTTTGCCAAAGCTGAGTGAAAGCTGAGGTTTTTGAAGGGTTGTTGAAGGCTGTTCGTTTTGATTTTGTTTGTGTTGTGTGATTTGTAGAAATAAACGGCGGTAGATTGTACGCCATATTTATTTTCATTTTCTGCCTTGGAGTTTTACTATTCATATTTTTCTATGAAAAAACTGGATGTTGACAGTGCTGACTGCTGAGTTGGGGATAAATTGTCCCAATTGAAATTAACTTTCAATAATAAATATTAGGTAAACACTTACTACCTATATTTTTGAGGTTAACTAAAAGTCATAAGCATTTTCTTGAAAATGAGCAAAGCCAAAAAGACTTCTACATCACCAGAACCAGCAGGAGAAACTAACGAAGAATACATCGTTGAGAAAATCATCGATAGCAGAATAAATGCCAATGGAGTGAAAGAATATCTTCTAAAATGGATTGGGTAAGCTTTGAGATGTATTTTTTTACAAATAGTACTGATCAACATTTTTTAGTTATAATGATGAGGATAATACCTGGGAACCTGAAGAAAATCTAGATTGTCCCAGTCTCATCAAAGCCTATGAAGCAGAAAAATTGGCAAAAGAAAAAGAGAGAAACAGTAAAAAAAGAAAAGCAGAAGACACTCCAAAGCGCAAGGATGATAAGAAAATCCATGGTTTTGACAGGGGCTTGGAACCTGAAAAGATTATAGGAGCAACTGATAGCTCAGGTATGGTAGATTTTATTCAGAAATCATTTCATGAAAGTTATTCCAAATAATGTAGAATTTCATTTTTATTCTTAGGTCCACTTATGTTCCTCATGAAATGGGTGGGTACTGATGAAGCAGATCTAGTTCCTGCCAAACAGGCCAATGTCAAGTGCCCTCAAGTTGTTATCAAATTTTATGAAGAACGACTCACCTGGGCTGCTCCATCCTCAGAAGAGAATAAGAACAGTTAATTTTCCTATCAACACCTCATATTCTCTACATACCTGCTGGTAAAAAGGTATGTCAATCATTAAATAACACTATTGAACCTGGCCAAAACTGTATCCTAGCTAGACTTTACTATTATTTTTTGTTCAAGGGGAAGATGGAAGTTTCTTCTTTGAATCAATTCTCCATTGGATTAATCCCAGCATCATAATTGGACAAATAGTAGATAATTGAAAATTTTTATTATTTTTGAAATGTGAATTGTTTTATTGAGAGGACTTGTTGCTATTCCCTTGGAAACACCATAGTTTGGGTACCATTTTTGATGCAAATTATTCTTCAAATGAATAACTTGTATGATATTGTGTTGATAAAATTTTCAATGTATACTTATTTTTCTGTTTTCTGATTATCATATTGATGCAGATATTGGTTCACTAATTTCATATTGAAATTCTGTATTTATGAAAATCAGGAAGGAGTTGCCACTTGTTTGAAATCTCATAGTTGGAGCTTTTTGGTAGGTTATACCTTATTATTTTCAACTTGGATATGATTATGGATGGAACTCTGGTGTATCTCTTGTTACTGGAAACTGCTTGAGGATTGTAATTTTTTTTATTTCATTGTTCTCTCGTTTCTGCTGTTGTGTGCAAAATGTGGAGTGTGGTGATTCAAATTCATCAGAACTTCTCATTTGTTCAAGGTTCATTTGTTTTTCTGGTGTGACAAGTTTTTTCCTCAAATGATGAAATCAGTTTCATTGATGATTGGAAATTTGTTTCTCTATACCTAGATTCTAGAGGTGGTTCTATAATTTTTTATAATTGGTTGTAAATAAATACATATATATATAATATATATAGTTTCATTACATATGATTTATCCAAATAAATAGTCTGAATTTTATTTTCATTATTCTCTTTCTCATGGAATTGAAATTTCAGAATTACCAGTTTCAATGCAAAATGTGAAAATAAATATGGAGAACATATTCAATCAGAGAATGGCATACAAGCATTGATCAAGTTGCAAAACCTATGGACAAAATTTGTCTGAAAATATTGATCTTTAATAGATCCTGCTCCATAGTATGTTAATAGTGAAAATAATTTGTCCAATAGCGCCTCTAACTTGTGTTTTCAAGGTCTATCTGATCATTCAAATAAAATGCTTCTAACATCTTGGAAGCAATGTCATTGTTCTCTCATTTCTGCTGTTGTGTGGGAATTGTGGTGATTCAAATTTATCAATACTTCTTATTTTCTTGAGGTTCATTGGTTTTGATAAGATAAAAATAAATCATAAATCCATTGCACATGTACCTTTTCAAATGATATATTTAATATTTTGCTCTCAATTTGTAACTCCCATCTCCCTGAAAATTGAATTCAATCTACCATTTATACTTGTGAAGTATTTTAGTTTGATTATACTCTTCTTTACTCTCTCCAAATCATCATTTTTGAAATGACTAGAAATCTCCTCCAACAATTTTTCCAACATCTTCTTATTTTTCTCCTCCAGTACTTTCAATTTTTCTTCATTATCACCAGCTTCTTCAATCTGAAATGAAAGGATTAAACAGTAAAGAATAGGCAAGGTAATGAAAAATTGTTTCATTTTTAAAAAATGTCATAGGAACTGTTAATTTGAAATAATTGATCTACCTGCTATATTATTATAACATGTGACCATTTGATTCATCATTACCTCTTCATTGAGTGTCATTATCTCCATCAGGAAAGAAGAGTCATCCACTGTATCTATTTTACCCATGACATGTCCTTTTAGGGCTAGAAGATGTTCTGCTCTGTTCAGGGAAGGCTGAAGAATACTAAAGGCTTTGTTAGCAAGTGATGAATATTCTTCTGAAATAGTTTGTTCTTCATGAGTTCTACAGAGTAAAAAATATGCATCAGAAACTAATGATTCTAGGGAGCCTCCTAAAAATAATCTCAATTAGGTAGTTATCATTTTCTTTCTTACTTATTCTCAAACTTATCAGGATGAACGAGACTCTGCAGGTTCCTGAATTTATTCTTGAGGAATGTTTGATCAATGTCAAACTTTTCCTCAATTCCAAAGAGTTTGAAATAATTTTCTTTTTGGATTGGATGTTGTAGAACCTGGCATTTTCCACAAAATAGTTCCGAAGGTCGGCTCCATTCAGCTCCACATTTCCAGCAGGCACTAGATCCCTTTATTATGGATGAGCAATAATTATTTCCAAAGTGAAAAATTGGATAGTTTTGTAGGTTAGGTATATTGTTGAAATATCTGTTGGGATGAAAAATAAAACTATCAAGTTTTTTGAAGTGGGGATGCATTTTCACATTCCACAAGTGTTTCAGGACTTTTTTCCATTAATCATCATTTTCAAAAAAAATCACAAACAAAACAACAAATAATACAAAAGAAACCAATAGTTCAGTGACAGTGACACAAGACACAACGTCCAAACGCCGACAGTTTGACAGTATTAACTTGACAGGTGCTTGACAGGCTATATTCCGAATTCAACTGCTGGTCAGTACTGACAGTAGATCCACTGAATCTGCTGAAAATATGTGTTCCGAAATATGAAATCAGAAATACAGTGCTGTAATTCGGAATACGTTTTCATGGTTTTCATCAGTAGTCAGCAGCAGTTGATCAAGTGGTACAATTTGTCAGTCTGTAGTTTCTCGTTTATCTGAACTAGATATTTAGCCCCGTTTGATATAAATCTTGGAAATTCAGTATTTGACCTGGAAGAGCAATCCATTCTTATATATAGATAGCCTCCATAGTTTCTACGATTATTGACTATGACGATTCAAGCTCGAGTGGACATTTTGTTGCCATTAATTTTTCATGATGCACCAGATTGGGAATTGAAAGATTAATGGAAAACGTAATGATGATGAATTTAGGAGACATTCCAGGTTTATTTTGTTATTTATTCAGCCAATGCTGCTTCTTCTTTTGTTGCCTCTATTACTTCATACTCCATATTATTCTCAGCTTATTATTCCAATAATAGGTATTATCTGATATAGAAAATAATATCATTAACGGAAATAAATATTACATTCCTTCCCCCTCTAAAATAATGACAGTTCACTGAAGCCACACTACCTTTTGATACTCAGCAATTTCAGCAGAATGTTGTGTCGAAATATTTGGAATGAATAGTATGTCTGCTGACAAGCATCTATCACTTTCAGTGAATTCTTTTGATTTCGGAATGAATAATCAGCAGATTCAGTACTGTCAGTTGAATTCGGAATATAGCCACAGTAACAAGATAACTTGTTCCGATCGGAGTTGACTTGGTTCCGATCTAATTTTTTCGCCAGAGGAAATGTACTAGAATTCCTCGGAAAAAAAAGTAACAGGTTTGAATCAGGAGGTAAGATAAGGGTAAGATATTAGAAAAGTCGACATTTGACATTCTAAATGTCATTTTAGTCAAAGTATCGCACGGATTAGACACTTTTGACAGGAAAAGGGCAAAAGTCTCACAGAACTTATGACATGAATATAGAATTCAGACTGTACTATTTCTATACAGGGTGTTTCATAATTGAATGCTGATCCTAAAGGGCGATAATCCTTGGATGATTTCAAGAAAAATTCTTCATGTGAACATAGGTCCGTAACAGCTTCGTTTCTGAGATACAGGATGTTGAAATTTAACAAAAAAATCAGTTATTTCCCAATATCTCTGAAACCGCTCTGGCTTTTTTCTTCATTACAGAAACTAAAAAATAGTTACCATGAAATTATGAAAATATTGCTTAGATCTTTTGGTTACTACAATTGTGAAATTATGACTAAGAGTAAAAATCGAATGGGGACAAGCAAATATATGCATTTTATTTTCTAACTCAAAAACCGTTGGCAGGACGAAAAAAAGACATGAGACCATTTTAATGAAAAGATAGAGGATAATTACAAAAATAATATTTATTTGGAAAAAAGACAGTGGCGTATCATTATTTTGATGAAAAATATGACAGGGTATGTTAACAGGGACGCCACTGATGGAAATTAAGAAATCCTTTATTATGGAAAAAATGTATTTCTATTCATACTTGGCATGTACCAAAATTGATGAAAAAAGCCATAGCGGTTTAAGAGTTATTGGGGAATAACTGATTTTTTTGTTAAATTTCAACATCCTGTATCTCAGAAACGGAGCTGTTATGGACCTATGTTCACATGAAATTTTTTTCTCGAAATCATCCAAGGATTATCGTCCTTTAGGATCAGCATTCAATTATGAATCACCCTGTATAATATGGCGTATCACCTATATGATATCAACAAAGATGGAACCAAAATGAGAGGTACTTTTTGAATCTACAAGAACGGAAAGTGAAGGATAAAAACAGCCGTATTGGTTTGACAAGTTTGGTATTATTTTTTCCCTACGTCGGCATCAACGCCTATTGGTCGATTTCGTTACCTATAGAGACAGAAGTTGGTCCCGCTTTGAGGACAGCTATGGCTATGATTCATATATGGGTAGTATTTATATGGCTGAACAGATATATGTACTATTTCTATATTTGGCCAATGACGGCTAAATGGACTGTCTGACGAGTATAACCCGTCAGACAGTCCATTTAGCCGTCATTGAGGCCATGCGCCAGGCTTATATGACATCTCAACAAAACAATAGTTCAGTGACAAAAATGGGACCAAAATAAGAGGTACTTTTTGAATCTACCAGGACAGAAAGTGAAGGATGGAAAATTTTAAATAAGTAAGCCATATTGTCGTATTATTTTTTCCCTACGTCGGTTTCAACGCCTATTGCTCGATTTCGTTACCTTTAGAGGCAGAAGTTGGTCTCGCTTTGAATCTAGATTGTCTGACGGGTTCGTCATGGTAACAACCTATGTGAAATAGTAATAGATCTATTACGGAAGTAATGACAAGAACAACATTGACGAATCATTATTGACGAGTACAAAAAGTGATTCTATGTTCCATATAATATATATATATATTCTATGATGATGTGATCACTACCACAGAACTCATATTACTTACGTAATATGCGTTCTGTGATCACTACTGATCCCTGCCCAAGAGAGTTTATAATCCTTGATCCCTGCCAGTATATGGGCCTGTTTGTTTGTGCATGCACTACCTGCGGAACTTAATTTTTTTCTATGACTTCCTCTGTTTACATCAACATCATGTCATGCGCATTCGCATTTTGCTCGTAGAGGAACAGAATGATAGTAAATACCCCTTTTAACGACGGCAGTATTTATTAATATAACCAAAATACATAAAATATCCCTCTCACGCACAGATTCAACCTTTCGATGATTGACAACCGAATTAATTCATTATATTTCATAAGTGACATCCGCTCTCAAAATACCAAAATACGGGATGTTGTCGATGATATTGAATAAAATACCTAACACTCGGCCCTTTCTGACACTATGAGTGTCCTCACTCATCCATCTCTCATTCATCATAAGAAAATAAATCGATTCGCAGATTGATTCTAACAACTACAACTATAACTAACAGTGCCAATAAAATAGCACAATTCTCAGCACGCAGGCCGGTTTAACTATAATCTAATATTCGTCAAATCATTCCAATACAAAATCAAGTAAACGATGTGGCAATTTAGTATCACGCTTGGGCCTTTCTTTGGCCCGCACATCAACTTCACTACACTTGTCTTCTTCATTTTCCTCTTGTTCTTGTTTACTTTCTCTTCTCACCTGTAGTTGCTCGTCTTCGTTAACTACAGCGTGATAGTCTTCATTTTCTTCTATACCTCCGTTCTCTTCTTGTCGAAATTCATCTTCTCTTCCTGTACTTTCCCCATCTTCTGATTCTTCATGATTTGCATATGATTTCAATTGTGAAACGTGTGCAGTGGTAACGAACTTTCGACCAGAGTTCAGGCTATGTAAACGATACGTATCACTGGATAATATTTCTATAACTCTATATGGTCCTTTATACTTTGGTTTCAATTTATTCGATTCACCCGGTATTGTTTTTGTACCTTGAACGAATACTATTTCTCCGACATCATAATTCAATCCAATGAATCGCTTTTTGTCGTACCGATCCTTATACTTTTTCTGTTCTTTAACAATTCTTTCCCTTATTTCCGTTTGTATTTCTTCAGCTGGAGTCCACTCTATTTCTGCTACTCTTGCTGCCAATTTATCTTTTCCAAAACTAGGCAGATAACCATGGAGTACTTCGAATGGACTTTTTCCAATCGTTTTATTATGGAACGTGTTCAGGCTCTTCTCTGTTTTATCCAAAATATTGTCCCATTTGTCTTCACTTTGTACAGTAGTAGCCATTGTAGACAAAAGAGTCCGATTAACTCTTTCTACCTGCCCGTTTGCTTGAGGCCAACGACTAGAATTGAGCGTATGGTGAATATTCCGACCTCTACAAAATTCACCAGAATCTTTCGAAGTGAAACAGGTTCCTCGATCTGTAACCAACAATTTCGGAATTCCAAACAATCCGAAGAAGTTCTCAAACTTTTTGATTTTGATTCTTGTTGATGTATGTTTCACAGCATACAACTTGACATATTTTGTTAATGCGCATACAATCAACAAAACATAACAATTACCTCTTTTCGATTTCACGAAAGGACCTAGATGATCGGCATGAATCCTTTCAAATGGTCTCTTTGGAGGAGATATTGGATGGAGTTCCCCTGGCTGTCTTTTTCTTTTCCTTCTGTAGTCTACTAAAAGTCGAGCTTCTCCGTTTTTCTTCGATACAAGAATCACGGGACTCGCATATGAACTATCAGTGTCTGTTACGATACCGCACTCGCGCCATTCCTTTACAATGTCCCCTGTTTCAGTAGGTTCTGAAAGACTTGTACGATATGGCTTGCATACTACCGGTTTACAATTGTCTACTATGTCCATACGAATTAGATCTGTGCAACCCAATTCTGACAAATTGATCAATTCCATTCCAGTGTCTACTCCACTGATGTGTGAAGAAATTCTTCCCAACTCCTGCATCTTCTTGACTCGACAGCTAGAACCTCCTCGATTCTCCAGCGGAACGCAGACTTGTTCTTCTCCCATCGTCGCAGTCACAAGCATCACAGAGTTTGCTGGAATATCCACAACTTCATTCGCAACCAATGAAATTGATTCACCAGCTTCATCTTGAATCATCTCAGGAAATGGCAATTCATCCTTCCATAGGAACTTCAAGGTTTTGCCAACTCGGACATATCCCAAACAATCTTGTTCAGTAAAAGTGCGCCCTAGTATAACATCTATACTCTGAGCAGAATTTGGGACAACATGCATTGTCACGTTAGAGACTTTGATGTTATCGATTTCCAAAAATTCTCGTACGGCTTCTGAACTTTGAACAGATGTTCCTCCAAAACCAGACAAAACTATCGAATCATTTTCCACAGAATGATTCCCTTTGGTAACTGCATCTTCGGTGATAGTGCATACTGCACTACCAGTATCAATCAGCGCTTGATGTGGTATACCGTTTACTTTGACTTCGCGTATAAATCGTGAGAGAGAATCTGTGGTACATTCCCTTCCCGAGACTATGTTAACGGACGCGTTCCCACCCATGTTTGACGTTTCTGTGACAGTTGCATTTGCTTGAAATTTTGTGCAATTCTTTTTGAAATGACCAGGTTGACAACATCCATAGCAGAGTTGTTGTTTAGGTTTGTCGCATTTTGTTCTCAAATGACCCTTACAACCACAGTTATAACAAACTACCTCATGCCCTTTGCCCTCATTTGTTATTGGTCTACTCCTATCGTCGTTAACATATCTAGATTTTCTCATACGTTCATACACTTGCTCAAGAAGTAATAAATCTTGCCACAAATCATCAACCGTCAAATGATTTTTGATTATCAAATTTCCCGCTATATCTGCCTTATGCAATCCCTTCAAAATTTCACATTTTTGCTCTGCGAATGGTAGATTCAATTCTGATAAAAGTCTCACCTTATCATGAAAATAACCAGATATACTTTCCGCAGGCTTTTGTATCCTACAACGCATTCTATCCCAGCGATCCGCGGTAGAAATTGTTTGAATGAATGTTGATCTGAATTGAGATTCAAAATTTTCCCATCTGGCAATTCCCCTACCAACTCTATCAAACCACGCTATTGCCGGACCCCTCAAGTATGCGCGAGCAATATTAATTTTGGAAATGTCATCTAAATTTTGCAAAGTACTACTCAAATTGATCGTATCTAACCATTCTTTTGCTCTAAATCGCTCCCTGTCCCCATCAAAATGCCATAACACCGATGGTACTTGCGACACAACACACTGTGTATTACTGTTATTCAAAATATTCAACTGAGCTGTCATCAATTCTGTCATTTTGAACATCATATTTTGGAAATCTACCCCATGACTAATATTACTACTTGCTGCTGGAGTTGTGCTCTCCGCATCATCAACCACTCCATTTGCCAGAATATTGGAATCAGAATCAGGATGTATCATTTTATCAGCCAAGACTACTTCAACTTATCTATAGACGCTTACCTACACCTCGAAACATGTACCAAACCAAACCCAACCTAATCAACGACTCAGCCTCTCTTCGTCTTGATTCTTCTGTCTGATTTCTAAAATGCACCTTCCTTTCGAACAGATACAACGTCTCAATAGAAATTTTTGGCCGCGAAATCGAACACCACTTCTGAAGTGATAGTAAATACCCCTTTTAACGACGGCAGTATTTATTAATATAACCAAAATACATAAAATATCCCTCTCACGCACAGATTCAACCTTTCGATGATTGACAACCGAATTAATTCATTATATTTCATAAGTGACATCCGCTCTCAAAATACCAAAATACGGGATGTTGTCGATGATATTGAATAAAATACCTAACAAGAATTTGTACGAGACCCTCGGGGCCTAAATCAGTATACAAAATATGATCAGTGGGCTGACGCCATGCTATCAGTGGAGCACAATAAGACTCACTGACTAGACTCAGCCTTATTGCGAGAAATGATAATCATAAAAAAAACACGAATTTCAACATATCCAAGTGATGGGAATGGTTCGAAAGATTTAGGCACTTCTACTTCACGCTAACGATTTTGACGAACCAGCAGTTCAGTCTTTCATCAATGTCATACTTCATACTGTCATTCTTACTATTGAAAAGTCATCAAAAAATACTAAAATAACACTGTTTCAACAATAATTTCGCAAAAAAACAATACATAGAAGGACCTATAAATAAATAGTTTATTTTTTGTGAAACCACCTTTAATCTTGAATCCGTATTTTCGTCTGGTACGCAGCCGCCAGGCATGTGATTAGTGAAGTGCGCGCGACGGTTTTCAAAATTGGACACAAGAAACGTCAGATCGTCAGATAATTATTCACTTATTCAGTCTCTACTGTCTTCATCCTCGTCCTTAATTATTGTGTCTGTAGGCTGTCTCAATTTCGCCTGGTTTTTTAGCGATATTTCGTGAAAGTACTCGGACCATACACGACTCTCACAAATAGCGCATAGACCGTGTAATGGCTTTTCTTCGTACAGTGGTCAGATGTAGTGTTCACAGAAAATACGGCTTACTAATCGACCCGTTACAGTCTAGTAGTTTCGCCAAAGTCAATTTGAATCAGACTGTGCTGAAATCGTCGGCCGCTAGTAGTACCCTTGTAGACGATCCCAGTCAAACTGTACAGAATCCAACACCCAAAGACCCGCTGGATATCAGTTTCCAAGATGCAAAGGCAGCATTCAAAAGCAAGACTAATTTGGAGCTCATCAGGGCATATGTGGTATACACATTATGTTCATTTGAAACCTTGGTTACACATAATATGAAGGTGAGTTTCCTATGGCAATTTTCCCAATTGATCTCATTATTGGTGGTTCCAGTTCCTACTTATGTCTTTAGTAAATTGTTTAAATCATTATTTCATTACTACCTATTAAAACTGTCATGCTATCAATCCAAATTGTAATATCTTTAGTTTATTTTGATCTCATTCTTGGGAGCATGGAAGTTGAAGCAATCAATCATACAATAATTCTCTTGTAAATGGGTTGTTATATAACACCCAAATTCATGCAAGTTTTACAGTCTTTGGTTGTGAGGAAGTAAATTTTCTGTATAAATACAGTACACAATTATAATAGGTAGGCATATCCCCATAGATACACTATATCCTAATATCAAGAAAGTTATTCAATATTGGAATGTCTTCCTATGGTCCTAGGTATTATGCAAGGTGTTATGCTGGGTATTATGTAGGTACCTTCAGTACCTATTTCTCATTGATAATCAATGCAAAAGTTATGCTGTGAATGATAAATATACGAGATGGCCACTTTTTTAATCAAACTGAATTGGTTAACTCTCAAACCATACTAGTTGGAGGGTCTGTTAAATGTAGAAAATCTTGAATATAAGGAAGCATCATAGTGGTGAAAATTAGTGGAAAATATCAGGGCTTATACTTGGGATATGAGGAAAAAAACGATAATTTCGGTTTTTGATAGGGTTAAACTGCCGTCAGAATTGTGTACACCAATCATCAATTTCACAAGGATTTCCAGTTGTTTGTACACTAGAATTATACTGCACTTTACACATGAAATTCCAAGGAATTCGGAGGAATTCCAAGAAAATCCAAGGAATTCCAGTTGTTTGTTCATCAGAAATATACAGCACTTTACCCAAAGAATTCCAAGGAAATTGAAGGAATTCCAAGAAAATCCAAGGAATTCCAGTTGTTTTTTGATCAGGAATATACTGCACTTCAACCAAGGAATTCAAAGGAAATCCTGGAAATTCCAGGGAATTCCAAGTAATTTGTGTTATTTGAGTACACCAAAATTCCACCACGGTTTACCCCTCTGTTTTTGGTTATCCTCCATCAATTTGTGGGAGATTTTTCTTTTGATAGTAAATTCTCTTTGCTTTAATGTTTTCAGATTTTGCCTTTAATTTTGCATACAACATTTCCTATTCTCCAGACCACCCTCAAGTTACCAATACAATCCCCGACCTCGTCCCCGACAATCTCATTAAGAAAGTGGCCACCCTGAATACTTAATTAATCCTTAAATATTGGATTATGTCCTAAATTTGAAAATTATGTATAACATCTATACATAGGTAGGTAGGTAAGGCATGAACAAGACAAAAAAAAATCATTTGAGTAACATCTTAATATCTTTGATAGTAAACTCACTGAAACAATTCAATTACTTGCTATATTGGAAAATAGAAATGTGAAATCTGGAACATAGCAAGCAATTGTACATAATAATATACAACCAAAAGTCTGTCCATTCTACAAGAAGTGAAACCAGTTTTGCAAAATTTCTTGTTTTCAAAATGGAACAACCCATATTTCTAATAATTTCTAAGTGATTATATTTTACAATATTTTTTCAATGTTTTGGGTTTGAAATCCAAATTAAATAAATCATTGATGACTTCGTGTATCTTTCAAATGGATCATCCTTTATATTATTATATGGAACAAGTTTCAGAAAAAAGCAGAATGCCCGTAGAATTCGTTAAGGGATTGTGTTTTTCTACTCATGGATCTCAGTGTATCCCGAGGTGTATCCTTATGAAATTAAGTTCGGCAAGGGTTCAGCGAAATAGAGGCACGCTCAACGTGTAGGGAGTGGGACGGCAAGTATGTACACTCGTCTTCAGAGAAAATGTCACACATGGGCCGCTGCAATAAGTGCCACTCATACCAGTCATACTGTCCAACCGCGACATGTTCACTGAAGACGAGTGTACAGACAAACTTGTCAATGCCATCACCAAGAAATTTCAAGAATATTCCGATATCGCCGCCTCGATCGTCGCGTCTTTTTTATCTCTTGGAGCGCACGAAAGGTATCCCTATAATGTTCGGAAAATATTGTGCGAACCTAGGGAGGATAGGGAGAGGATTTTTTTGAACTTGTGGAGGTTATCAGTCCTTGGGAATACTTCCAATGGCAAACAAATTCTCCGGAGTAATTTCTGACTATTTAGGGTGTCCCATAATTTTACCAGCCTACAACCAGAAAAAAAAGTTCCAATGAAGATTTGTCAAAAAAATGGCTCCTAAGGGAGCTATGGCGTCCTTTGAGGCCGAAACGTCATATGATAAAATGATGCAATTTGGTACCAAAACTAAACTTTCTATGCCCAAATTTCATTCAGTATTTCTGTACTCGTGAATGCATTTTTTTCGACAATTCAATTTCTGATAATGAAAATCTACACCCCGTTACAAAAAAGGTGCATTAAATCATTAAACAAAAGCACTGTACAATGTACATATAAATTGACCTCGAAATTGACGTATGTTGCGCCAAATTTTCATATCGTCATCAGTTGAAGAAATATGCATTGCTCGTTTTCAAATTGTCACCCTGTACATACAAGTTGAATAATACCTCTATAATACCTACCACTGATAACATGTATTTTATCCAAAATAAGTGATCAAGGCCTGACTTGATTTTAGAGATTATAATTTACGCCTTAAACATGATTGACATTACTTCCTAGAAAGACATCTTATCAATACTTTCGTCAATACCCAAAAAAATTAGATATCTTATTGTTTGATTTCTTTGAAGATATGACATAAGTTTTTTTTATAGAAAGAGTGCTTGTTTAAAATATTCAATATCTGTTTAATAATTTATTGTCAATTCTCCCAGTAATTCTTCTTGAATATTCCTTACTGCTTTACTCCATAAAACGAAGGCAAAAACTTTATTATATCCTGTATCCTTGACAAGCTTTTTGCAATTTTTTTTGTTCTTCATATTAATTTTTTGATAGCGAGTTCGAAAAATCGCCGAAGAAAAACTTGAAATCTCGATCATTGATAATCAATAGCTAATATAATTTTTAATGAATAGGTCTCGGAATAGGTACTTGGAGTGATAATTATTTGTCCATTGTTCAAAATTCAAACAATGTGTAATTTTGAAACCGATTGTGGCTTGATTCTTTTAGAAAAAGTTATTTTCATGCTTTACAATATATACCGTGAAAATATGAAAATCAACTGGAATTTACTATGTACTCAACCACTTAATATCGAGGTCAGCTCTCGGGTTAGCTCATCCAAAACCGAGTCCAAAACCGTCCAAAACTATCGATTTTTGCAGATACCTACTTTCGATAATTTAATTGTGTTGGCATTTTATATTATCGGTAATCCCTGTATAACACTATTGGCGAATATAATCTCCCAAAATTTCATCAAAGTTGGTCTTTCAAATTACTTTATTTTTAGCATTATCAGTCACTAGCTGTCCGGCTCGGCTTCTTACGGTTGGTGTATCCATTTGAAAAAATGACATTTGTAGCATGCAGTTATTCAGAGTTATGCGCGTATCGACAGTACGTGTCTATTTTCTTGATATTTTTTCAATTTTTTTGTGCTTACCTATAGCTACTATTTTAAACTTACACTTACATTCTCCCAGTATCTTTTGTATTGTTTTGCAGAATTTTTTGTTGTTTCACGTATTAAAAATGTCAACCCAATCGGTCAAGTCGTTTAGTAGTTGACGAACCGACAACAGCGTCCTCTACCGCGGCCTATTGTGTTAAATCATCCAGGAAACCATCGAAATACCCATACACCCTCATAAAATTACTTATTACTTACTAACCGTTGTCCTACTAGTTGTCCTATTACCAGTTTTTCCGTAGAAATGAATCATTTTCAAGCGGTAAAAAGTATCCTATGGTCATCAGGTATCAAATTGGTCCAGTAGTTTCGGAGCCTATTCGATTCAAACAAACAAATCTTTCATATTTATAATATTAGATAAGTAGTAGATCGTACTTGAGACAGGCTCCTAGACCGTCCTAGACACACAAGTACGTGATACTAATCTATGGAGGTATCAAAAAGATTTTTGATGAATGACAAAAATTGCAAATAATATCATGAAATAAATCATAGATAACATAACTATATCTGTGCGATGAAATTGAAAGTAAATATTGCGATCATTGTTTTTAATGACTCACTGGACCTGGCATTTCACTACAGACAAATTTTAATATATTGGTAACATGCGAGCCAAAATCGAGGCCAAAATATTGTTACATAAGTTTAAATTCGAGTTGAAATCAAATGAACAATTGGAATTTGCATTTTACATAAGTTATTTATACACCAAGGTAGTAAAGAATATCAATATTACCCTCTCTTGCTCGCACGTTAAAATATCTCGATCATAAATGACCTCGTAAATGACCCTCATTAATATACTATGTTAGTTGGTTTGGTTAAATAAATATTACTATAGTATAATAATAAATGTTTTTCACCACTACCAATATATTTCAATCATTATAGTTCTGTGAAACTGAAATATGACGAGAGCCTAAAGTTTTCGAACCATTCCCAAACCTCTTTGTCAGATTGGTCACAGTAAATCACGTGATACATTATGAACGCATGGGCATTGGCTCGTGGAAAAACTTTGGATTTGATTCGATATATAAAATCACTCAAGCATTCCAATATTTCCAATCTCGATTCCAATTCACTTACGACAAGATACACCCACTCAAGCAGTCTCAGGGAAATTACCTCAAAGAGCGAATCGTATAGGTCTTAAAGAGTCTATGGTAATACCGGACGAAGACTAATGCGAAGTTCAATTACCCACTTTTGCCACGGGGCGTTGAGAAGTTGAAGTTGAAAGAGTAACGTTTGTTTCTCCCTCGATTTTCCATTTTCCTACGAAACCACGACACCGTGCGCAAAGTAATGCGCGACATAAAGCAGTGCACGAAGGAAATCAGTGCGGGAAGGGCATATTTTGCTCATTGTATGTG